ATATATAATAATTTATTTTATATATTTATATATAGATATATATTATATATCATTACTTCTTTTTCTTTTCTTGTTCTCCGAATTTAACTAATTATTCTAATTCAAGTGAATGATACCTTTCTTTCTCATATTATTCTGTTAAAGATTTTAAATTATCAGTTAAATTTATGTTCTCTTCTTTTGTTTTTATATATTTATAATCTTATTCCTGTTCTAATTTAAGTTTTCCTATTTAAATTATATGTATAAATATTTATATATTTAATTTACTATTTCTTAAAGAATAGCCTTATGTTATTCGATTTTTTTCTTTTCATCATTAATTTCTATTTCTAAATCTTCTTAATATCTTTAATCTTCTAAATCTTCTATAATTTATTTTTCTTTTAATTCTTTTACTCTTTACTAAGATATATATATATATATATATATATATATATATATATATATATATATATATATATATATATATATATATATTTTATATTTATATTAACTTCGTATTCTTATAATATTCTATCATGTTATTATTTAGCTTTTTCTAAATCTTCTTCTAATTATTCTCTTTTTTCTTTATCTTTCGTATATTTTTCTTTTATACTTATTATTTATTTCAAATTTATTTTATTTTTTTAAATAAATAAAAAAATATTTACTTATTTAAAGTTTATTTATTATCTGTATCCATTTTATTATGTATATTTTCTAATTCATTTAAATAAAAAAGTAACTTTTCTTTTTGCTTTTCTAATCCATAATATTAATTTTAACTTTTACAAGTATTATTTTCTAATTACTTTTAAATTATATACGTATATGTTTTAATTTTAAAATTAATAATATTTTACATTGATTTATTAATTAAATCCTTATTTCATTTCTTTAAATTTTAATTAAGATTCAGAAGCTAAATCAGGTAATGCTTTAGTATCTTTACTTAATAAATCAACCATTCCATTTTTATAATCATCTTATTTCTTTTTCCTAATATATAAATATATAGATATATATATGTATTGAAAAAAATACATATCTCTAATGGTTTTTGACAAAAATTAAATGTGGGCATTTAATTTTTCTACATATTAATCTTCTTTTTATTATGGTTCGTTTATAATTACTTTTTCTTTTTATTATTTTTTATTATATTTTAATTTATTTGGAATAAAAATAACTTATTATATCATTTGGATTAAATTTTTTTATGTTTATTCTAAATATTCACTTTTATTAGTATTTGTTAAAATATTTTTTTTCATTTTATTTTTTTCTTTTTATTTTTAAATTTATATTTAATAATAATATTTTATACAGTTATTTTTATTTTTAAATTAATTAATTATAAAATAAATAAATATATAAAAAAATAAATATATATATATATATATATATATATATAAATATATATATATTTATAAATATTTATATATATATACTTACATATATATATGTATTTATAATTTTTTTTCATTCATAAATTCTCATATAACCTTAAATTTCTGATCTACAGAAAGCACAATTTTTTTTTTCCATAATTATTTTAATACAATCTAGGCAATATTTTTTATGTCCGCAAGGTATACATGCATGATCGCTTTTATTAGACATACAAACAATACAGTTTTTTTCGTCATTTTCTAATTATTATTTTTCTATTTCTTACTTTTATTCTTCTTAATTCTTATTTACTTTAAATTTATTAATTATTTATATTTAAGGTTTTAATTAATCGTTTATTATATTTTATGAGTTTTTATAATTATTTATTTTTTTGTCATATTATTAAATAACATCACTTTATATAATTTACAATTCATTTATTAATTCCGAATCTTAAACATTTTAATATAGGCTTATATTTTTTAATTAAAGAAAATATTTTTTTTTTTAAATAAAAAAATATATTACTTAATCTTATCTTAATATTATTAAAAAATAGTTGGAAATTAAATCAAAATATCGTTATTATCAATATTATTACATTACTATAATAATTACTTTTTATAATTTTTTATTTAAAAATAATATGTACTTCCATAAATATAATAATATATTAAGTATAGAGTTTAATATATTGATTAATTTACATGTTTTATAAATATTAAAATAATTAATAAAATAAATTATATATATATACATTTATTATATTATAATAATATATTTTACTTAAATATTTTTTAAATAATTTATATAATCAATTATTTTTATGTTTAATCTTTCGTCATTTTCTTTTTTTAATTTATTGCATTTTAATTATTTATTGTTAATATGTATTCATTTGTATTTTAATCTATTTATATTATAATATCGAAATTTTCAATTTAGAACATATAATTTAAGTTATCTCTTTTTATTTTTGTTTAAATAAATTACATTTATTTATTTTTTACATAGCATTTTTATATAAAATAATTTCATTACATTTTACTCTTTTTTATTGTTTTAAATATTTTGTAGTAATTAAATTGTATAAATTGATTATTTTTCTAATTAAATAATCCATTCATAACATTATTTATTTCTATAATAAATATTTTAAATTTAGAGCTTTATTTATTAGTTTTATTTACGATTTAAATGCAAATTTTTATTAATATTTATGAAACTTTAATATATCATAAGACATTTTTTTCTTTTAAAATAAGAAAATTATATTATTTTTTACTTTTTTTTTTTTAATATAAAAAAGAAAAAACCTAAAAAAACTTCAAAATAAATTACCAAAATTTTAAACTTTAAAAAAATAAATAAAAAATGATAAAAAAAATCTTTTAAAGTTTGATTTAGGATTTTTCAATAAATAAATAAGCGATAAATATGGTTAAAAATGTTGCCGTTATGGTTAAAACGGGTTACCACTTTCTCCTTAAAAGGCAAAATAAATTTATTCTTAAATAGATTAATTTTTAAATGGATGGAGTTTCAATTAGGAATATACAAGACTATTAAAATATTTCTTCACTGAAGATTATACTATGTCAGTTTAATTTTTAAAGGAAATAGCAAAAATAGACGCTTTAAATTTTTAAAATTGTCCTTCTTTTTCTCTATAAAAGGGAGAAATTTTAACATTGGAATTATATTCGCCAACTTTAAATGGATTAAGTTAGATTGATTTTTAATTGGCAATGCGAATTAATGAAATGAAATTCGAAGATTATTTTTTAATTCCGGTTTAGGATCCTTTTAATTATAAATAATAAGTATAAACATATAAATTTTTAAAGTAAAATGAATAAATTTAGAAATAATTAGAATTAGAACTTTAAAAAAGTTAAAAATAATGAAATAAAATTAATTATATATATATATATATATATATTTATATAAAAGATATATGTAATAAATAAATTTAAATATATAATAAAAGTTATTAAATAATTAAATAAATCCAAAATTTTTTATTTTCTTTGTAAATTATTTTGGATAAAAAAACATTATTATATATATCATACAAGAAAAAAAAAAAAAACGGAATATTTAATAAAATGAAAAAAATATTCAGCAACAAATACATAATAATTAATAATAAATATTATCTAAAGAAAGATATATAAATATATATTTTTATAAAATTATAAATTTAAATATATTTATATATATATTTATTATTATTATTAAATTTTTTATATATTTAAAAATGTCTTTAAGTCCTCAAACTTTAAAATCAGTTGGAGAAGCTTTAGGAACTGATATATTATATATAACTAAAATTTGCCATATTTCCTAAATGTCTATTAACTATTATATATGTATTGGAACTCGTTAATTTTATTTTTTCGATGAGAATTTCTAATTCGTAAAAGGATAAGTAAAATACATACATTTATTGAGAATTTTAGTTTCGAAAAAAAATGACTAATTACTTTAATTACATTTTAGTGAATAAAAAGATAAAAACATGCCTTTAAAGATGAATATATATACTGAAGATAGGAAAGCTATTATTGATTATTTAAAATATTCATGGAAAACAGACTTTATGTTTCATTAATATGAAGTTAAGGAACTTCCTATATATAAATATGATATTATTTTAGATTAAGAAAGTTAGTAAATAAAAAAAAAAAAAAGTAAGATTGAAAATATGATTATTAATATATATATATATATTTATATATATATATATATATATATATATATATATATATATTAGCACCTCCTAGTTTTTTATTTGAAACTTATTTAGAAAATTAGAAAGTTTAAGAAAGCAAATAGTTTTTGAATGGTTATTGTTTTCATATGAATTTAGATTTTAATTTTATTTAAAATGGATTTTATTAATTTAAAAAAGTAATCTTTATATAATTTTTAATTTTTATATAATATATATTCAAAAAGTATTAAGACTGTTAAATATTTGTATAAATAACAGACATGTTGCCCTTAGAAATTATAAAAAGTATGGGAATAAGAAAGGATTTGGAATAATATGCTCTATATTATGCTTAATATATAGTATAAGAACATAATTATGACACTTTTTATATTTTATCATCTAATTAATATAATAAAAGACATAATTATACTGAAGATCTATCATAATGGAAAGGTTGGGAACTATAAATTAAAGTAAGAGTATCTAATAAAGCCGTAAAGACTATAGGAATAATTATTTTAAGAAGAATGTATTTACCACCTTTATTAGATAATTTTAATGATATAGCATTAGTAATTTTCGGAAACAAATAAAGTATACAAGGAAATAATAATAAAATCTAAATTAAAATTGGAAATTAAAAAGAATGTGAAATAATTTAAATTATTAGATAAGTCGCAGACTCTTTTTATTATAAAAATATTAATTAAAATGTATATAAAACCTTAATAAAAGCTAAATGTGATTCGCTTTCTATTGATTATGAATAATATGCGTATTTATTAACTTTAAATGGTATTTTAATATATATATATATAGATATAATATATATTTAAATTAGACAAAATATATCCGAAATATATAATTTATGGACTTGAATTTATAAAAAAAGTGTTAAATTTATTAGATTAAGATAATAAGATTAAATAATTTAAAAAAATAAAAGCCAAAGATATTGATATTATTAAAAACAAATTTAAATAAGGTTAATTAGGGTAAGATTTAGATTGTACTTTTTTTAATGAGGATAGTTTATAAATTATAGAAAGAAAAATGATATAACATACATTTAATAAATCTTTAATTGATGGAGAAAAACTGATATAAGACCACGATGATAATATTAATATTATATAAGAAATCAATTAGCAATAATCTTACAAAAATTAAAAAAAAGGAAATAATATAAGTAAAGAAGAATTAGAGAAAAGTACTTAAGCATATAATTAAATTCTATAAAATAAATAAAAAATGATTTGGCGATAGAAGTTATCTAGGTATACAATATATGTATATATAAAAGTAATAAAAATAAAAAAAATATAATAAAAAAATAGGTATTTAGCATATTGTTTAGATGGTGGAATATTTGGAAATTTATTTACATTAGATGATGTTATATTAGGTTGTACTGACTAGGTATATATATATATATATATATATATATATATATATATATATATATATTAATATGTAACTATTTTTTATATTTAGAATATTAAAGTTCAAATACAAGAAATTCTTGATTATTGTTTATTTTTTTGTTAGGAAGAGGGTGAATTTTAATTTAATGGTATTATAAAATAATTTGAAAAAAGTATTGAGAATTTAAATAATTATACTTTTAATGAAAAAGTAATGATAAAATTGATTTAAAAGCATTATTTTTATGATTAACTTTTAATATATGAAATGTAGCCTTAATTATATACCTCTATTATGATATATTTTTTATAAGAATATGATTCTGTTGATTTAAAAAAAGCTGTATGTAGCCATTTAATCAACAAATTAAGTAAAAAAAAGGAAGATTTATAAATAACAGAGTAAGTATAATAATTAATTCTCGAATTAATATTGCCTATAATAAATATTTACGATAAACACGAAGACTTATCACTCTAACTACTTGCATGTATAGCTTTACTTAACATATCTTGCTAAATAAAGGACTCGAAATTCACTATTTAAAAAAATGATGGTATAAACATAGTATTATAAAAACTTGAAAGTGTTGATTAAAAAATTGTAAATTATTCATTAAAATTAATATAAAACTTAAGCGAAATTTTTTTAATTTTAGAATCTTTTATTGAAAAATAAATCGAATAAAAGCTTTTAAATATACTAACTTAATATAAAAATATATCAAATACTAGATATAATGTAGATGTTTTATGTACTTCTATTTAATTAATAAAGCAATTACTTTCTTAAAAAGAAATCATATTTTCTTAAATAATTAATAAAAGACATCTTATATATAATATGATAATTGCTCCTTCTGAATCTAATTTAGAAGAAGATGAACTTTATTTCGATGTTGCTTTAAAATCTGAACTTTTGAGTGTACTTGCTAAAATTATAGAGGCAGATAATTCTAATACTACACATATTGAGATGTCTGATATAAGTTCATAATATTTTAGGATACTTACTTATATTAAAGATTTAATTAAAAATGTAGTTTAAGGAGATATTCTTGATAAATGTTTAATTGTTATACTTACTTTATGTAAAAACGCAGATAAAGGAGAAAATGTAGTTAAAATTATGTAATCAGATAGTGATATGTATAAAGCACTTAAGTTTATTTATTTCGAAACCGAACATATTTCGGAATAATTCAAATAAAGAGTTAAAATTTGTCTTAAATTATTCCATAATGAATAAATTGATTAGGCAGACAAAGGAAAAATAAAAATGAAAAAAAAAATGAAAAAAAATTTTTTTTTTTTTTTTTTTGTAAATAATAATTTATATATATATATATATTTATTAAATTAATTCATTTAACAAAAAAAAAATGAAATCACTAAAAAATTAAAAAGCTTATTTAGCTCCTTTTATGTACGAAAAAAACTTAATAGAAGAGTTAAAATTTAACAAAATACAAATATTAGAATAAATAGGTCGTCTATATATAACTGAGTATTCCGAAAAACATATATATTGGTCTTAAAATACATGGGAAGACTTAAATGTAATATAATTTTAATCAATTAAATAAACTGCAAAAGAGTTGAAAAAAATATCCAATTTTTGGTATTTTTATATACACTAGGATTTTTTAAAAAATCGGATAAAATTAATATAGGAAAAACTTCCTTATATAAAAACTAAGGACTTTTAATTTCCTATATTTTCAAATAAACTAAATTTTTTGAACTCATTTACTTTTTTAAATGAAAATGAAATTCTATTCTCTTTAAAATGCTCTAATAAATTTACAAATGGCGAATTACTTTTCTTGTAAGATAAAATAAATCCCCCAAGTAGGGCATATTTAAAATTATGGGAGTTATTCTGTTTAATAAATAAAGTTCCTTAAAAAAACGAAAAAATATTAGAATTAGGAGCATCACCAGGCGGTTGGACTTGGGTTTTGTAATAATTCGAAAGTAATATTTTGTCTATAGATAGAAGTAAAGTTGATAAAAAATTAATGTATTATTAAAAAATGGAATTTATTTAATAGGATGCGTTTAAAATTTTACCAAAAGAAGGATTTTTATTTGATTGGATGTTTTTCGATGTTGCCTGTTAACCAAATAAGGCTTTTGAATATATATAAAAATGGATTTAGAGTGGAAATGTTAGTTTTATTGTGGCCAGTATCAAGTTTTAGGGCTTGCCGGATTTTGAAATTATTTAAAAGTTTTAAAATGAATTTTAAAATTGTTAGATTTTCCATCTTTCTTGTAATAAAAATGAACTTACGTATTTTTGGGAAAAAAAATGAACTTTTTGTTTTTTTTTTTTTTTATTTGTATATATTCTTATTTTTTTTTTTAATAGTAAATAATTTATTTTAATTGAATTTTTTTTTGTGGGGAGGGATAAAAATATATGTTTTTTTTTTATTTTTAATTAATTTTTTCTCAATAAAACTTATATTTTTTTTTTAATTTTATACCTAAAAATAAAATTATATATGTTTTTTTATATTTTTTTTAAAAAAAAATTATATATATTAATTTATTTTTGAGAAAAAAAATATTTGCTTTAATTGATAATTTATATATATTATGGTAATTTCGGAATTTTTTTCGATTATTCTTAAATCATAAAACTAGCTTTATACTATATATTTTATAAATTAAATTATTTTTTCTTTTTATTTACCTTTTTTTAATAAAATAATGAATTTATATTTTATTTTAATATTGTTTTTTTGTTTTTATAAAATATATAAATATTGTTTATTATTTTAAAGAAAAAATGGATAAATTTCTAGTAATAAAAGCTCTAAAATTAATAATGGAATAATAAGATAATAATAAATGTTTTGAATGTAATTAATTATTATATGAATAATTTGGAGTTTCAATAAATTTGGGAATATTTTTATGTTTAAAACATTGTAGTTTACATTTATTATATGGAAAAAAAATAAGCCAAATTATATTTTATGATTCAAATTTATGGTAAAATAAAAAATTGTTAAAAAAATAAAATATATATATATATAGGGATAAAAAATATATATTATTTGCCTAAAATGGTGGAAATAAATAATTAAAAGATTATATAAATGAAAATGATTTAGATATAAGAGAATATAGTTAAATATTTTACAGTTAATAAAAAATAAAAGAATATATAAAATAAGTAAATTTAATATAAAAAAATAAAATAAATAAACAAAAAGTTATAAGAAAATGTTGGAAAAGCTTTAATATAATAATATGAGTTATGTGATGATAAATATGTTTATTTTTTATTAAAAAATTAATAATATGAAATAAATATTAATATGGAACAAAATAATTCTTAAAAAAACTAAATTTATACTTAATTTATTGGTTATGTATAGAATAATAAGGTAAAGGTATTTTTATATTTTAATTTTTTTTTTTTTAAATAATCTTTATTTTTTTAGATAGAATAATAACTGGAAAAAAGCTAAGTACAAAAAAAAATTTAAAATTTTGTAAATAAAACGAAAGAATAAATATAAGAAAAGTAGCAATATATAATAAATAATACTAAAGAGTATTACAGAAATGAAGATTTTGAACTTAAATAAATGAAATTTTAAATGATAAAAGAAAGTTTAAGGGAAAAAGCAGATGTTGTTAAAGAAGAAATCTCATTTAAAACAATATAATTAAAGGATATTGCTTAATAAACAAAAATTAATTTATAAAATAAATATGGACATTAAATAAATGATTTAAGTGTAATATAAATATATATATATATTTATATATATATATATATATATATATATACTTAAAGTTTTATTTAGAATTTTATAATAATTTTTAATTTTTTTAAAAATAATGATGCAAATATAATTAAAATTATTAATTTAATTTTCATATATATATATATAATTTTTTTATTCTAGTTTATATAATCTATTAGATATAAGAACTAATATTATATATGGAATAAAAATCATAATATAATATATATTTTTTTTTTTTATGTGAACTTATATTTATATTATTATTTAAAATTATTTTTTTATTTTTATTTTTTTTGAAAATAAATAAAATAGTAATAAATAAAAAAAGAAAATATAGAAAAGTTTGCAAAATAAAAATTTTGTTAAATAAAGACTTTTTTTTAAAAGGATAATTGAAAATTTAAATTAAATAAAAAAAAAATTATATATGGAATAAAAACATAATATAATATATATTTTTTTTATGTGAACTTATATTTATATTATTATTTAAAATTATTTTTTATTTTTATTTTTTGAAAATAAATAAAATAGTAATAAATAAAAAAGAAAATATAGAAAAGTTTGCAAAATAAAAATTTTGTTAAATAAAGACTTTTTTTTAAAAGGATAATTGAAAATTTAAATTAAATAAAAAAAAAATTGTAAATAATAAAAAAAAATACTACTTATTATAATTTTGTATATAAATAAAAAAAAAAGATATTTTTTTTTTTCTCTAAATAAAAATAAAAAATATGTTCATATTATAAACTTTATTGCTTTTACTAATAAAATTTTAATTTTCTTAATAATTAGAAATATTATTATATAAATAATTTAACTAAGCATGTTTTAAAACTAAAGCATTTGAAAATCGAAGATTTAAATTAGAATATCATGTATCAGGATAAGGAGAAAAATAAGTTGAAATGAAAGTAAAAAAATAAAAATAAAAAAAATAATAATAATAAATAGTATATATTAGATATTTAATTTCACAGAATCAGATAATTAATTGATTAACTAATCTGAAAACGTTATTGATTATAAATATAAATATACTCCAGTTTCTAATGTAATTTTATAAATATGCTTTTATAATAAAGATGGTTATTAAAAAATATTAAATTTTAATTGGTAAAATGTTTTAGAAAATAATTTTGTAACATCAGGTATAATTAAAAAATATATATTTTATATAAAAAAAAAGAATAATTTTTTTAAATAAATAAAACATTATTTTTTTATATAAAATATATATATTAATTTTTAAATTTAAAAGTATATTTTAATGTATTTTTATAATAAAAAATTATAATTAATTATATTTGTATATATATATATATATATAATATAACAAAAAAGAACATATATTTGATAAATTAAGATAATTGTAACAGATAAATAGAAAATTAGAAAAAATAAATAGATAATATAAAACAGATTATCAAAGATCAATTATGCATTCAAAAAGTAGTTTTTATTTTTTATAATTACTTTATTTATTATATAAATTAGTTTTATAAAATACTAATAAAAGAATAAGAATATGTAGTATTTTTAAAATATTAATCATTTTTATTCTCGCGATTTTATAAATATATATTATAATTAATTCATTATAGAATTATTTTAGTTAAACTTTTTAAAAAATTTGAAAGTTTTTTATGTTAATTTTTCTTTTTTTACAATTAAAATTTTTTATATAAAATATTTAATTAATAATAATTGATATAATAATATAAAAATAGGTTAAAAATATAGAATATTTAATATTATCATTAAATAAAAAAAAAAAAAAAATAATATATAAATTAATTATAATAAAATTATACAAGATAATAAATTTTAATTAAATATTATATATTTGAAAAAAATATAAATAATTACAACAAATATAATAAAAATAAAATTAATAATATAAAATAATTTATAATTTAAATTAAATATATATAAAAAAAGATATTTTAAAAATAAAAGTAAAAAATAAATTTTTTATAAATTATAAATATAAATATTATTATAAATATAAATATATAAATATAAATATATAAATAAATATATATACTTTTTTTTACAATAAATATATAGTATTTAATATAAAAAAGGTCATGATTATATTTTTTTAATTTTTTTTTTAAATGAAAAATAGACATAATAATATGAAAATTTGAAAAAATCATTATTATTGATAATATTTATATATCAAAAGTAATTAATTATATAAATATATAAAAATAAAATAAAAATATATTTATTTTTTTATAATTAAATATATATTTATATATATATATATATATTAATATTTATATTTATTTTATATTTATATCTATTTATATATTCACAAAATACAATTTTCATTTTATTCATTATTTATTAATATACTAATTAACTATTTTTTAACATCTTATATATTTTTTTTAAATAATTTTTCTAATTTATTATTTTTATTTAAAATTTTTCTAAAATTTTAAATAAAATTATTATTATTATTAATATTATTATTTTATTAATAAAAAATTAATGTTTTTGTATTTTTTTATTTTAATTTTCTTTTTAAATTTTTTAAAATAAAACTGAAGATCCAAATTATGTATTAGAAACACGGAACTACATGTATTTCCTTTCTCTAGATTCTTTTTATTTATTTTCAACATTAGAATGATTTTGCTTGAAAAAATTGTTTTAGTCGTAAGTTGTTAATTAAAAATTATGTGAAATACTCCCCTTTTTATTAATTTTGGACAGGTTATTATACTAATATATTTAAGAAATTTATTTTGGGGAGGGAATAAATGGATTTTTAACTTTTATAATTTCTAGTCTTGGCCTTAGGAGTCTATTATTTAATTTAAAATCTTCACTTTTAGTTTAATTTTGATTGATGTTTTTTTTTGTAATTTAAAATATATTTTATACTTTATTTTTATTTTAATTTTTATCTATTTATTATAATTTATCGAAAAAAAATGAATCTTTACTTGTACTTTTATTACATTTTTTAATTTAAAAATCTTAAGAAATATTTTTATTTATAAAATAATTTTTATTATCATAATTTTAATTTTCTTGATTTTTTTTTTATAAATTATTTTCTTTGGTAATTTTTTTTTCTCATTTTATTATAAATCAACTAAATAATTCTCTAAATAATTCAAATTTTTATTTTATACATTTACATTTTAAATTTTTCAGTATTTTTTAAAATAAATTATTCATTATTAAATACAATATTAATATTTTTATTTTAATTTCTTTTTATTATAACTCATCTAAAGATTCTTCTTATATATTTATTTAAAATTATTTCAATTTTTTGAAAAATATTTTTGGATTTATTAAATCATCTTCAGGAGCTATTAATATAAAATATAAAATATAAAAATAAATATAAATAAAATATAAATAAAATATAAATATAAAAATAAATATATATATATATATATATATATATATATACATACATATGTATATATATATTACCTGAGTCAGTATCATAATCTTAATTTTAATAATTTTTCATTAAATTAATTTATTTATTTAATTTTTTATTTTCATCTACAAATTATTAAATTTCTTCTTAAGTAAAATAATCTCTCCAAAAAAAAGAACGCATATTAGGATAATAACTTTTAATTAATTCTTATTATTTAAGAATATTATTTAAAAAAGGGTTTTTTTTCTTTTTAATACATTATTTATTTATTATTTTTTAGGAGAATTAGGAGAATCAGGAGAATTAGGAGAATTAGGAGAATTAAGAGAATTAGGAGAATTAAGAGAATTAGGATAGTTTATTTATATGCTATCATTTATTTATGATTATTATTCTTAAACTTGTATTTATTATTATTAAATATTTTTTTAATTTTCTTAAAATTATGTATTTTCCTACATATCTTTTTATTTATTTTACATTGTTTCTTTTTAAAATAAAGATAATTAGATTTTCTATAAAGGACCTATTAAAGACATATTTTAATCTTAATTTTCTTAAATAACTGAAGTTTCCGAAATAATATTATTTTTACTATTTTCCTTTACTAATTATCTTTTTTTAATTTTACTTAAAAAAGACGAGACTTTATTATTTGTATTTGTTTTAGTTTTTTAAAGTGACGAAAACGAATTATTTATACTTAAAGCTTATTTATTATGTTTTTTTTTAGGTGTAGATAACTTTGAATCATCTAATGGTTTTATAATTTTCTCATCTAAGATTTAATTATTAGTAATAAGTATTAAATCTCCGTTATTTTTAAATGATTCCTATACCATAGTCTATTAAATTAGAGTAAATTTCAATAAATTATTGCATATATCGATTCCCATATTTAAATAATCATTTTCTTAAAATTCTATAATCTCTTATTTATTCTTATATTAGAAAAGATTTTTATTTTCAAAAACTTACTCTTTAATTTATATTTATTAATCATAATCAATTTTTCCCATTTCTTATTATGAAATCAGTTTTTATTAATCAACTTATTATTCATTTTTCATTAAAAAATATCTATTAGTTTCCCACCCAAAAAAACTGGCATCGAAAATAAACGAAAACCTAGCTTTAAGCTCATTCTAGACTATAGCCCTTGCCGTGGATAGATTTTACTATTTTAAAGACATTTCGCATTATTAATAATTGAAACAAGGCATTTATTCATGCATTATTTTTAAAAATAAGCGATTTGATGCCCATTTTAGATTAGATTTTATACCATTAGCTTATTCACAACCGAACATAAAACAATTCTTTTAGGTACTTGAAGCGTGAATATCTAAAAAAAAATATATCTCTTTTCTAAAACAGTATTTTATCATATATTATTTTAAATAGAAAATTTCAGGATCTAAGCTCTCTGATGGATTATCCCATTATCTATATATAAATAAATATTTTTATAATTATATAATATAATTAAATAAATATATATATGTATATATATATAAAATAAAAAACATATATTTATATATATACATTATATATATATTTTTATCATTTATAAATATATTATTATTTTTTTAAACCTATTTAAATCACTTCCTGATATATTTGTTCTTGTATTTCCTACTGAAACTCCATCTGGGTTTATCATTGGAGCTATTTTAAAAATAAAGATTTCTCTTAATTTTTAAGCTGCAATGTCATCTGATAATAAATATTCGATTAATCCTTAAACTATTAATGAACTTGGTGTTTCTGCTGGATGCTATCTAGCAATAATAAATATTATTTTTCTTCTATCGTATGGCAGTATTTATTTAATTTTTTTACTTGCTGAAATTTCTATTAAATAAATAGCCAAACCTAGCCTAGATCCTCCCACGTTCTCCTTTTTATAGAAAATATTTTCAGTAATAATTGTCAAAGATCGTGTTTTTTAGTTAAATTCATCAACTGAATTCTGCATTTTTTTTAATATATTTTCCATCTTTTCCACAAAATTTACTAAATCTGCAAACGTATATGGTTTTTAGAAAGAAAATAATACTCTATCGCCTTAATTTTGGAACGTGTATGAAAATTTAAGAGTATAGAAGAAATCAGATAAAGGAAGATTTTCCTAATTTTCATCTTCTGGATTTTTTCTTCGAAAGCCTGATTTATTATACTAGATTTCCCCAGAAAATTTTTACCATTAAACACCATTTACATAATCTACATTTCCTATATAAAATTTCATTCCCTGTAAAAAAAGGGAAGACTTTTATCGGCAATTTATAATTTGGAAATTAATTTTTTAGTCTTTTTCGCCCCAAAATTTTACACCAAAATTAAACCATTAAGTAAATCCTAAAAAATAAATTTTATATTTATATATATAAAGGTATAATATATATATATATATATATATATATATATATATATATATATATTATATATATATATATATTATTATACCTAATGTGTTTGTATCTGATTTTAATATTAATTTTACATACTCCAGTTATGGATGAGATATTATTTAACTTAAGTTTGCGTTTTCATAATCTGCATAAAACTCGAGAGTTTTATTTTATTTGTCTCCTGTAAACTTTATTTGTTTTTTTTTTTTTTTATAAAAGTAATAAAAAATAAAAAAAGTACAATTAAATTATTAATTGATTTTGGAATTTAATTATATTTTTATTAAATAAAATCACAATAGCCTAAACCTTAATTCCTAAATAATAAAAATAAAGTAAGATCCCTTTATTTAATTAAATGCTATATTTAAGTAAAATTTCTTGATATAATTTCCTTTTTTTCATTATCTTTTTCCTTATCAACTATATATTAATAATCATAATAAAATATCTCATAAGGTTCGAAAATACGAACATTGCCATAAATTACCCATTTTAATGTCTTTCCACATATTTTGCATCTATAATCACTATCTGGACTACAAATATGGTCAAAATGAAGTCCCTTTATAATAATTTAATACATATATATATAAATAAAAAAAACTTAATTAAATATTTCATATAGTTCTTTTTCACGACCTTTTTTCCAAAATGACTCATCGCCAGTACTCGTGAAATCCTTTTTTATATCATTCCATTTCCATTATAATTTATCCTCAAGTGAGTATTTACCTTTTTCAACTAAATCTAATGGAGCACCTAAACTATCCCATAGATCTTATAAATTGCTCATTTTTTATATTTTTATTTTATTTATTTTATTATATAATATTTTTATTTTTTTTAATAAAAAAATTATAATATTATAAAATTTATAATTTTATTTTTAAATATAATTTTTTTTTTTTAATTTTATTTGAAAAAAATAAAACCAAAAGAAAGATATTTTAATTATAATTTTTTTTACTTAAATAATCAAAAAATGTGGATATCAAAGCCAAAATAAATAAAAACCTTTTTTTCTTTAATAAATTACACTAGAAAGCAATTTACATAATAATAAGGAGAAATAGTTAAAAAAAACCATTTTTTTTAAATAATATATATATATTAATAAAAAGAAAAATATTTCAATTTAATAATATTATGAGCTTTTATAAAAATCTGATAAATAATAATAATAAATAGGATAAATTACAAATATAAATGAAATAAAGCATTTTTCCCAAAAAGCCAATCTAGAAAACTTTAATAAATATTATTTTATTGCATCGAAGTATTTTTCATAAGAACAAATTAAAGAGGTATTTAGCGAATAAAGTATTTTATCATATTTAAAAGAATATTAAGAAGAATAATTCGAAGAATTTTTTAATAAATTTTGCTTAGTTAATGCTTATTATTAAAAAGAACAAGGTCCTATTTTAAATTTATTGTATTAAAATTACGATTAAGTTCAGAAAGATAATGAATAATTAAAAATTCATCAAATAACTATGATTTGTTATTTTTTAATATAAGAATAATTAGATTAAAAATTGGAAAAATATAGAAACGATTTCGTGGCTGAATATATAATTAAAATTGTAAAAAAATTAGATATATTAGAAAAAGCATTTTAATTATAATAATAAAAAGATTTTAAATTTTTAAAATATTATTTTTATTTAATCTGTAAAAGTAAAAAATAAGAAGATTTTAAAGAAATGTTAAATAATTATTTAAAATAATTGAAAATAACTGATACAGACATAGCTTAAAATAAAAAACTTGTAAATTTTTGTGTAGAAATTATTTAAACAGCTTTTAATTATAATTAAATTTTTATTAAATAAAATTAAAATGATGTTTAAATTTTTCTTGAAAATATAATATTAAATTCTAAATCTTATTTAAATTAGTTTACTTTTGAAAGATTATATATAGTTTTTACTAATATTAATAATTATATAAATAATTTAGATCGCTTTAAATATTTAAATCAACAAATTAGTAAAAGCTTACCTTTTTCTAATATTGATGATAGAATAAGATAAAATATCTTCTATCTTATCGGAAGAAATTGTTATGTATCTAAATATACATTAAAATTGTAAAAAATATATTATATATATTTATATATACAATTTTATATATATATATATATATATATATATATATATATATATTTTTATTTTATAATTTTTAGTATTAATTCATATAATTTTAAATAATTTGATGAAAATTCCTCATTTTTTTAATCTTAATTATTTTAGAATTGGTTTTTGTGCACAACTAATTTGAAAATATTCTAATCATAAAATGTTACAAAGGAATTTATTAATTAAATATTTATAAATGAAAAAGCAAATAATAATTTAAGATTTTTATCATATTTTGCAGTGACTTTCTTAAAGTTAAAAATTTTCGATAATTATTTCTGGTCTAAATATTTTTAAATTACTGATATAATTTCGAAAGAAAATATAGTTTAATATACTTTTTATTAATAAGATTTTTTATATTTTAATTACATTATTTATAAAAATGAAATTCCAGAACAAGTAAGAAAACTCTTTGATTAAAAATTTAATAATTATAAGCCTTAATATAATTAATAATACTTTGTCGAACCAAACGAAAAATAAAAATTTAGTTATTAATTAGAATAATAAATAATTAATTATTTATAAGAAAATAAAATAAATTTTGAAAAAAATTAATTCAGTAATTATATATTTACATATATACATATATGAATTTATATATATTTATAGTTGACACTTATTATGTGAACTTTATTATTGAAGATAAAAAATATATAATTATTAATTAAATTAATAATTATATTACTTAATAAGAAACAAATAAATTGAGCTATAATTTATCCACCTAATTTAAAATTGAAAGTCTTTCTAAAAAAGGTTTGGATGTTTATACATTAGATTCATTTGATAAAAATGCTTTTTAAAATTTTATTAAAATTTGTATTTAATAATGATTTTTTATTTTAAACATAATTATATTTTATTTAAAATTATATATATATATTTTTATTTTTATTTTTATTTTTATTTTTTTACAAATAAAAAGATATTTATTTAAAAAAAAAAATATATATGTAAAAACTAAAATTAAAAATTAAATATTTTTTTTTATATTTATATATTAATTATTTTTTATTTTATTTAAAGCATAAGTTTAACTATAAATATATTTAATCTTTAATAGTTTATAAATATTAACTATTTATACATATATATAATAATTATTTTTAACTAATATATTCTCATAAAAATAACTAATTTTAATTGATATTTTAATTTAAAATAATAATAAAATAATTTAGTTATTACTTTAAATGAATTAATTTTTCATATATATATATATATATATACTTTTATATTTTTAATCAGTGCATTCATTATAATTATTAATTGATATCTTTTTAAATATAACTCATAATATAAGGATTATCCATTAAATTATTAATATTTAATACCTAAAGCATAGATTTTGTTTTATTTATTTTACTTTAAATTTAATTAAAATATTTATTCCACCCAAAATAATAAATAAAAAAAATTGCTGTAAGGCTATAATAAAAAAGTATGGTTTAAATATTAATAATATATTAAAAATATTAATCGACCATTCCTTACATAAAATTAATTAAAACAATTGAAAAATTTTTTACTAGAAAATATTATTAATTTAATTCTGCAAAATCGTTAGCTTAAATCCAACTTTATATTTCAAGTCGGAAATCTTATATTTCTTAACTTTCAAAATAAAAAAAAGATCTTTAAAAATCTAAAATACATAATTAAGTGAAAATATTATCCCTTTTTTTAATATTCCATCATTTAAGTTTGAACATTCTAATATATCTATATTTTAGGTGTTATACATCGGATAATTTTATAAAGTTTCACATGCATTTTATTATAATAAAGGAAAATAAAACTCTAAATACGTATCTTTATTATATCTATTATATGAAAAGTTTTTTTCTATGCTGGTTATATTTAATATATGTTAATCAATTATTTCTATACTATTATGTAGTTATTACATATCTATTGCTTTAGATTAAAGTTTTACATAAATGGATAAATAATTAATTGAAAAAATACTAAAAAAATAAATAAATATAAAATAAAATTATATATTAATAAGGGATTTTACTAAACTAATTTTTCTCTTATTTCATAAACAATTTCAAATTCTTACGAACTTAATTTTGCTTCTTGAATAAAAATAGAAGATTATACTAAACTAATAATTGGGTATATTAAAATAAGTAAAAAAGCTATAAAGCCTAAAAATAAAAGGTATTTATTAATAAGCATTAAACTAGAAGTTTATGATATATTTTTTTTTTATGACTAATTTTAAATTTTAGTTTGCATTTTAAGATTGAGCATAATTGACTTTGTGAAAAGAATTTTATAAAAGCAATATATTTATACTTTTTAATAAGAAATCTAATTTATTAGAGGGAAAAGTAGCAAATAATCTTAAAATTTTTTCTCTTTCTAACTATACATATCTATAAGTAGGAAAAATTAAAGATATAAAACAAAAGGAAGTAACTGAAATTATTATTAAAGTAACCAATTATAAATAACTTATTTAATTAAATCCATTATTTACTTCATCTTTTAATATTTGATTAGCTTAATCTATTTATGATAAGTATAGGTCTCTATTTTTGGATATAAAATCACTCATTAAATAATCCTAATTTAAATCTAAATCTTTATAAAAAAAAACTTTTAAA